TATACCTTTCTGATCAACCATCCAGGTTGTCTTGGGCTGGAAATTTGTTTAACTCTGTCTTTTTGTGGGGTTCTGCTGCTTTAGAATTTGTTTAGAGCCATTTTTTTTTTAACAGGTATTTGGAGAGGTTTGGGGGAGAGCTCAAGCAAGTCACTGCTTTCACTCCACCAGCAAAAAAACCAGCAGTTTTTTTTTTTTTTAATTTAAAGATTTCTTGAAATATGATGTGTAGGCTCTTTTTAGGGGGTCTTGGAATTCAGGTAGTCCAATAATTATTACATTTTTTCTCCTTGATCTACTTTTAAAGACAGTTTTCTTTTTGCTTTACATTTTCTTTGACTCTTTTTGGTCTTTTGACTTGGCTTTAATATTTTTTACTGACTCGTGGATTCATTGGCTTCTATATGATCCATTCAGATTGTCAGGGAGTTTGTTGTTTGAGCAAGGTTTTGTATGTCTTGTGCTAAGCTGTTAATTTCCTTTCTAGTTCTTTCTTATTGAGCTCTCATTTCTTTTCCAAATTTTTTCCTGTAGCACTCATAAAAACATTTTAAACTTAAAAAAAAACAAACAACTTTGACCTCATTTCTTCCAAAAATTCTAATTGAATTTATGCCTAAACTATATTTTTCTTTGACGCTTTGCTGGTAGATATTTTAGAAGCATTTTCTTCTTCTGCTGTGTCTTGGGCATCTTGATCAGTATAATAGCTTTTTATGGTGGTATTCGTTTTTTGTCTGCTCAATCTTCCAGCTTATTTTCTTACTTCAGATCTGATGTTAGGGCTGGGCTCTGAGGACTTCTAGGGGGAAGGTTTAGGATGGTCTTGTTGCTCCTTTTGTGGGATGTGGAGTGCTGTGTTATTCCAGAATCTCAGGGACAGCTTGATTTTTCCAATGTGATTTGATCTAGAACAGGATTTGATTGATTTGAGGTCTGCAGATTCCTGAACTGGGTTTGAGTCTTAGCAATAGTAGACTATTGGTGGACTTGGCTACTGTCAGCCAACCTGGAAGCTGGTTCAGGGAGACAGAACTGTAGGCTCTCATTTGGTCTGGGGTTCTTGCCCTGATTATTTCTTTTCTTTTCTTTTTTTTTTAAATGCTTGATCTATTTATCCATTCATTTATTCATTTATTTGTTTACTTATTTGGCTAGGTAGTGGGGTTAAGTGACTTGCCCAAGGTCACACAGCTAGTGTTATGTGTCTGAGGTCGGATTTGAACTCAGGTCCTCCTGAATCCAGGGCTAGTGCTCTATCCATTGTGCCACCTAGCTGCCCACCCTGATTATTTCTTTACAGGCTTCAGACTGGGCTAGAAGCTAGAACTGATAACCCTGATCTTCTGGGATCTGAGCGATGTAACTGCTGCTTATTTTAAACTTGACTCTTCTCTCTCTGTACACAGCCTAAGGCCTATAACCTCTCTCTACCAAAGAATGCCACTCTGGGTATAGGTCATCTCCTCAGTCTGCCTTGAATCTGTGACGTGGAAGTGCATCTGACACTGTCAGATGACACCCATCTGGGAGCTCCTCTTGCCCTTGTGCACAGTTTCTTCTCTGGGTATGGAAGTGCTCCGTGATGGAGTGCTCCTGGCCAGACCCTCTCACCAGTGTCAGCAAACTTCTCCCCCTCTCTTCCACAGGTGAAATGGGCTGGAAGAATGACTCACTATGACTTTTTCTTGGATTTCACCATCAGAATTTGGTCTGTCATGTTTTGTAGATCTGTTTTGGGAAGGTTTTTTGTTTTATAGGGTAGAGAGCTTCCCGTACTGCTTCCTGATGGTCATCATCTCAGTTGAGTTCCTATAGGTCAGAAACTGTCTTTTGCCTCTTTTTATTTCTCTAGTGCTTGGGAAAATTCCTGGCACATAGCAGGCATTTAATACATGTTGATGCACCAACTAACTTTAGCTCTTTGAATATGTTGTGCGTATTACTGCAGCACTTGGGATGTTTATTTGTTAACTTTTAGTCCTCCTGCATGACTGTGCCACTTCCTTTTCTGGATAATATCTTTTTATGCACAAGTCATAATTTGGTAATGTACTGTATTATTATCCTCAGTATATTTCTTTATTGCTCTTTGGATCAAACACAGTTTAATGCATCAGAGATGGTGTTCCATGATTTTTAGCTATAGAGCGTTATTCTTGACCATGATAGTTATATGGCTTGATTTGTAGCTATAGAGCATGGTTTGCAACAATATAGCAAATAAAATTTTTTAAGTGTTTTTTTAAAAGTTTTTATTAATGTCTTGTTTCTTACATTATCATAGCTATCCTAAATATCTTTCCCCTTCCCTCTCCCCAACAGCCATCTGATACAACAAATAGTATTTTCTAGAGTGGAAAAAAAATCAGCACAACTGATCAATACTTTGAAGAAGTCTAAAAATGTATGATGTGTAACACTCAAGTACTGCTTGATCTTCATAATTTTCCTAACGTTCAATTTTGATTTTTTGGTGCATGTATTCTTTCCATTTACATTGTTATAGTTACTGTTCTTGGCTCTGCTCGCTTCATTCTGCATCATTTCACATAAATCTTTCCAAGATTCTCTGTATTCATCATGACACATAATTTCTTATACCACAGTAGTAATGTTCCATTGTATTGATAGACCACAATTTGTTTAGCTATTACCTAATTGATAGGCATCCACTTTGTTTCCAGTTCTTTGCTGTTACAAAATGTGTTGCTGTAAGTATTTTGGTATATATGGGGATTGTTTGGGGTATAAGTCTAGTAACAGTCTGTGGTTCAAAAGGTAGGAACATTTTAGGCACTTTATTTGCAAAATTCCAAATTGCTCTCCAAAATGGTTGTACCAGGTACACCAACACTCTTGTCATTCCACAACCCCTCGAACATTGACTATTGCCATTTCCCCCCCTAATTTGCAGTGTGTGAGGTGAAACCTCAGGGTGGTTTCAATTGACATTTTTCTCTTATTAGTGATTTGGAGCATTGCTTCAAGTAGTTGTGAATACGTGGTAAGTCTTGAGAACTGTCTGTTCCTATCCTTTGACTATTTATCTATTGGGGAATGGCTATTAGGCATACACACACACACATCCATACACATATATGTATATATACATACTTTTTTTAATGTATCTTGGATACCAAACTCTTACCAGATAAATTTGATACAAAGATTTTTTTCCTATTCTACCTCTTCTCTTCTTGTCTTAGGTTATAAAGTATTACATTTTTAAAAGTTAGTTGATAACTAATAGGTTTTTTCAAGTCTCAGCTAAAGTCTCACTTTCTACAAGAAGCTTTTCCTGGTTCTGCCTCCAGAGGCAGCTGGTGGTGCACTGGTTAGAGCACTGGTAAGCATGCTTGATAAGAGTCAGGAAAGCCTGAGTTCAAATCCAGCCACAGCTACTTACTTCACAAGTCACTGAACCTCTGTTTTCTCATCTTTGAAGTGGGGGTAATAAAATAGCACCTACTTCCCAGGGTTGTTGTGTGAGGATCAAATGAGAGATTTTTTAGAGTTGCTTAGCCTACTCTCTGGGATGTAGTAGGAGCTATATAAATGCTTGTTACAGTCCCTTTCTCCACCCCCCACCCCCACTCCTAGCTAGTTTCCTTCTTTCAGGTCTGAACTAAAGCCTTACTTTTAAAAAGAAGCTTTTCCTGGTTCTCCCTAACCGTAATACTTCATCTCTGAGATTTATCTGCAGTTGACTCTCTCTACATCTTGTTTGTGTGGTGTCATTTTCATTGTGAGCTCTACAGAGAATACAGAGGCTTTTTTACCTTTTTTGGGGGGGATTATCCCCAGCACTTAGTACAGTGCCTGGCACATAGCAGGCACTTAAAATGCTTGTAACTTGACTGTCATAGTGGCCTTATCCCTAAATAATTAGATGCTCTTAGTAATTGGAGTAATTCCTAGGTCAATAAATACTTCCAGAATACCGTAAGGACTTAATTGAGAATGTTTTTTTTTTAATTTAATTTTTTCCAATTAACAAAAACATCTTTTCTCTCCTCATTAAAAAAAGAAAGAAAAACAAAACCTTATAAAAATATACATACATTGTCAAACAATACAAATTCCCACATTGGTCATGTCAAAAAATTTTATATATCAAACTGTAGTTTGAGTCCATCATATGTCTTGAGGTGGCTTATTTCATCATGAATCCTCTGGTCATTGTGTTGATCAGAATTAAGTCTTTCAGAGTTGTCTTTGTGTTGTTGTTATTATGTAACTTGTTCTCCTGATTCTGCTCACTTTTCTTTGCATTAGTCCAAACGTTTTCCTAGGATTTTCCGACACCTTTGTCTTCATCATTTTTTTTTTAACAATAGTATTCCATTACAGGAATGGGGATATTTAAATCAGATTGGACTAATATTCAAAACCTTTTACACTTTGAAGCCATCCTATCTTTCCAGCCTTATTTTATACAATTACATTCCATTCATCCTAAACTCCATTCAAACTATACTCCTGCCCCTGAATATGCCCTTTGATCTCTTGCCTTTGTTTTTTGCTGTTCCCTATGCTTGGACTCCTCTCCCTCCTTCTCATTGTCCTTTAATCTCTATTCATCCTAAACAGCTCAGCTGAAAACCAACATCTCCCATGAAGCCTCTCACCCACCCTACCATAGTAGTTTGTTTTCTCAGATGTACTTATTTTCTCAATTCTCAAATGTACTTAACACGTAATGTTATCTATGATGATAATTATTTCTGTATGCGCCATATCCCACTGTTGTCTATTCGTTCTGTGTGGGAAAGCCTTATCTCTTCCAGTTCCTAGCATACTCCTCTGTACATAGTAGCTGCTTAGTAAAACTTATTAAATAAATGAATGAGTTTTAAAGGAATTCTTGTTAAGAAAATTAATTTAATAGTGGTTAATTAGGGATATAAGTCTGATATAAAAGTTAATAGCTTGCAGATGTATAACAGTAATTTGTGTGATTCTTTTTTCATTTTTGTTTTTTCCTTTAATTTTTGTAGGTGTATGAAGCAATTGATACCCAAGATGGATTCTCTTGTGCAGAGTTGGTATCTTTTAAGCATCCTCATGTTGCAAATCCCCGGCTTCAGGTAGGTGAAATATGTTTAGAGGGAAAAATATATAATATAGCCTTTACCTTAAGGGAAGTTCAGAGTTTGAAAAAAACAAAAGTATTGCTGTTCAGATGTGGAAATAACAAAAGCTTTTTGACTATGTAATTTCAGAGTCCTTGTTTCATAGGATCACAATTAGAGCTGGAAAGGATCACAGTGGTCATTTAATTTTACCTCTTGATTTTATAGATCAGAGAGGTTAAGCAGCATACTTAGTATCACACAGTAAATAAATAGCGTGACTGGTATATTCAGACCCCTGTTTCCATACTCTGATTTCAGTGTTCTTTCCATTGTACTGGGCTGTCTCTGGCTTCTTAACCCTAAGTTTCTTTAAATTTACAGAATAAATATGCGAATATAATTTTAATTTACTTTTTCAAAAATCCTTATCCTTCAGTTATTTCCTCAGTTATATAAAACAGTTAAGTAAAATTCAATTCAACTTTTCAAAATTAATCATATTTCCCCAGTTCTTTCAATTTGTAGCATTAGAGGAAAAGGGGGGTAAAGGGAGATGGTGGGGGGAGGAGAGGTGGGGAGTCTCCAAATGACTAAATTAAAAATTTCACTTGGAAGGGATTAAGATAATTCGGCCTTAAATGAGACAACGTGAAGAGCATCTGACTAGGAGTCAGAAGATCTCAGTTGAGTCCTGGTTTGCTTCTAACTTGCTCCTTGACTAGTTTTAGTAAGATACTTCACCTCATTGCCTCAATTGTCCTATTCCGAAATGAAAATACTCACCACATACATTTCAAGTAAATGTTGTTTTGTAACATAATTATGTAACAAATATAAAACACAGTATACATATAAGTAGTTACCAGTGGAAATATGCCTGATAGAATTGTAATCCTTATCTTGTAGTTAATGTTTATTTTGTAGGAGTTTTAGTATTCTGAAGTACTTTCTTACATTTGGGATCTCCCAATGTCTTTTATATACTTCACATCCATTCTTGACCATCAGAATAGCTTGCATAGGGGGAATCTGAAAGCCCCCAGAAGTTTGCCTCTCTCTAATGCTCAGCTCCTTTTTCTCTATGCATGGGTGTTCCATCATCTAGAGCCCTGTTTGAAAAATGACATTTTGCCAGTAGATTCCACTGTCTAATTCAGGCCATCCTGAGCTGTCTGTAAGCTGGAGTTTTCAGGTCATGGGGAACAAATTAATGTCACATTTTGTTGGTTGGGGATGCTGTCAAGATTGTCAGGTTTCCTTAAAGTGGGGTTGTTCTTCGTAGCTTTCCTGAAACATTGAAATAAGAAGTTGAGAAGCATTGAGTACCCCAAGGTATCACAATTTCAATATCAGGCTTCTAAGTGGTATACCACTTTGTTGGAAATTTATCATTTGGGGGGCAGCTAGGTGGCATAGTAGATAGAATACCGGCCCTGGATTCAGGAGGACCTGAGTTCAAATCCAGCCTCAGACACATAACACTTACTAGCTGTGTGACCCTGGGCAAGTCACTTAACCCCATTGCCTAACCTGCCCCACCCCCCCAAAAAGAAATTTTTCATTTGGACACTTCATTTTAGTTTGTAGTATTATGTATCACTTATTTAGTATTTTATATTTTCAGGATCCTTTGCAGTCAAAATTTTAATTATTTCCTACTTAGGAATGTGGTATTGTTTATTTTATATTACAGTAGTGCCTTTCTCTTTCACAAAATCCTATTCTGATTCCTCACTGTGGTGTGAAAGTGATCTTGATTTCTTGAAGGCTGTTCCAGTGGAGTGTAAAGTGTGACAGATCCTGCCATACTGGCAAAACATTGACTACTCTTCTAGCAGCAGACTTTGTCTGTTTTCCAAGAACTATCCTATTTAAGTACATATAGGTCATGACTGATAGACTGACCAATTGGTGATCTGTTTCTTGGCTACCGTAACCGATGAAACCCCTTCTATTTCTGCAGTGAAGGTAGCAGTGTGACAGAAAATGGAGAAGGCCCTAAAAATCACACTATCTATAAACACTAGTGCACCTGTTAGTATTTGAAATGTAAGATTGTGGAAAGATCAATGGGTCTTATTCATCAAATGGAGTCTTATTCATCTTGATATTTTTGGTATACGTGAAAGAAGACAGAAAGAAGTTGTTCCTAAGGGAAAGGATAGCCCCCAGGAACTGGTTTTTATTGTACATCCCAAGGGAGTAAGACATTTTTCATGGAAAATTTGGTTATTTCATATTGTGCTTGTACTATTTGCAAAAAAAAAGAATACAATGAAAATAATAGAAGCTTTTATGAACTTATATATTTTGCAGAGGACGAAGAAGTAGAGAAATTCTGTGAAGAACTCAGTAAAACCCTTCAAATTAAATTACCAGATATTATGATACTTCATTGTAAAGATAGAAATTGGTGAGAACAGCAAAAAATAGGTTGTAAAATCTAACTTAGGAGTAAGAAATCAAAAAGACCATAGGTCAGTGTACTACACAGAAGACTTAGACTTTATGAATACTTTATTTGAAAAAAAAAAAAACAGACTAATGTACACCAAGTAACATCACCAAAAAATGAAATTCATTTAGAATTGTCATTTTTATTACATTGGCTTGGCCTACTCAGTAGCAGTTGATATTTTTCCAGTTGCTTAGCTCTGTCGTTATATGTATATGTAATTTTGTTCATATAATCCTGGGTTTGTCTTGGTCCCATTTCTTGCTTATTTTGTGGTTAGATTTATCTAGTTCCAAGAGGGAAGATTTGAGGTTCCCCACTAGTATAGTTTTACTATTTCCTCCAATAACTCATTTCTCCTTTAGAAATTTGCATGCTATACCATTTGGTACATATATGTTTAGTGTTGCTGTTACTTCATTGTCTGTGGTACCTTTTAGCAGGATGTAGTTTCCTTCCATATCTCTTTTAATTAGATTTGTTTTTGGTTTTGCTTTGTCTGAGATCATGATTGCTACCTCTGCTTTTTTTTTTTTTTACTTCAGCTGAAGCATAATAGATTCTGCTCCAACCCCTTATCTTTACTCTGTGTGTGTCTCTCTGTTTCAAGTGTGTTTCTTGTAAACAACATATTGTAGGATTCTAGTTTTTGATCCACTGTGCTATCTATTTCCATTTCATGGGAGAGTTAATCCCATTCACATTCAGATTACTAACTATGTATTTCCCTCCATCTTATTTTTCCCCTATCTATCCTTCTTTCTCTCTCTCTCTCTCTCCCCCCCCACCTCTCTCTCCCCTGCCCTTCACCCTGTCTCTCTTCACAAGTGTTTTGCTTCTGACCACCACCTGCCCCCAGTCTGCCTTCCCTTTTGTCAGTTCCTGCCCTCCTTCTTAGTCTTCTCCCCTTCTCCTTTCCTATAGGGTAAGATAGATTTCTATACCCAACTGAGTGTGTAAGTTATGCCCTTTTTGAGCCAATTTTGATAAGACTAAGGTTCAAACATTGCCCATCCACCTTCCCCCATCTTTCCCGCCACTGTAGTAGCTCTTCTGAACCTCTTCTTGTAGGATAATTTATTGCATTCTACCTCCCTCTTCCCAGTACAATTCTCTTTCTCACTCCTTATTTTTTTATGTTTGTTTGTTTGCTTTTGGATATTATCCCTGTCCTCTGTCTGTGTATATACCTTCTGACTGCCCTGATAGTGATAAAGTTCTTAAGAATTAAAAGCATCATCTTCCCATGTAGGAATGTAAGCAGTTTAACCTTATTGGATCCCTTATGCTTTCTCTTTCTGTTTACCTTTTTATGCTTCTCTTTATTTTTTGAAAATCAGATTTTCTGTTCAATTCTGGTCTTTTCATTAGGAGTGCTTAAAAGTTCTCTATTTCATTGAAGGGCCATTTTTTCCCCTTAAGGATTATACTCTGTTTCTCTGGGTAGATGATTCTTGGTTGTAATCCTTGTTCCTTTGCCTTTCGGAATATCATATTCCAAGCCCTCTGATCCTTTAATGTAGAAGCTGTTAAGTCTTGTGTAATCCTCCACAATATTTGAATTGTTTCTTTCTGGCTGTTTGCAGTTTTTTCTCCTTGACCTGGGAGCTCTAGAATTTGGCTATTATTGTACAATCACAGTCTGAGTTTGTGTGTTATGCTACTCAGTATGAAAAGGTAAAAAAAATTTATACTTGGTTTATTTTAAGCATTTTTAAAATTCGTCAGATTAAGTCAAATTACCGTTAGTAATATTTAAAATGTTTTGCAGCTATGATTCAGTCACTTTTTATTACTGTTTGTGTCACTTTTGTGCCAGATTTCTTTGGTTGGAGGCTGAGAACTTTTGCATTTCATTTCTGGCCTGTTAATCAACTTCCTGTGCTAACTCCAGGCATTTCTTAACTGATCTTTGTGCCCATACCTTCACTTGAAAGTGATTTAGCCTTAAATGGTAGACCTTCAGACCAAAGTTTGAAATTGTTGAGGGAAAGTTTATTGAAGGTACTTGGGCTAGACTTTATAAAGTAGGAGTTACTCAGGAGAAGAGTAGGGAAGACATGTTGCAAGAGCAACATGAACAAAACTGGGGAAATATAGAAATTAGCATGTTAAATGCAAAAGACATCATGGATACTGATTTGACTATAGACCAGAAGTTCACACTGAGGAATAGGGGAAAATGAAATTGGATGTAGCCAGTCAAGATTTAGAAATCCTTGTAAGTAATGTAGATAGATGCACATAGATACGATGCAGTAGGGAGCCAATGTTGATTCTTGATCAAGGTAAAAATATTGCAAATTTCTTTGTAAGTTTGCAGTGGCATGTATCTAAAATAAAATCATTTTGATGGAAAAAAATCACAATTCTTGGTAACACACCAGTTGAGATTTAGGGGAAAGGTAAAAATGAAAGATGACATCAAATATTCCAGCCTGGGATATTGAGATGATAGTGATGTTAACAGGATTGGAAATATTGAGAAGTTTAGGTAAGAAGAATGGTCCCTTTTATAGAATAGCATTGTGGTCTCTATTACAATACATGTTTGGGTTTCTGTTGATTGTTTATGTTCTATGTAGTGTATTTTGTACACCTAGGTTAAATATAGTTATTGCGGTGGTTTGTTTATTTTATTTATTTATTTTTGCTATTATGACTTCTTTTGTTGTAAAAGGTCTGTTTTAAATGTTTTCCATATGTCCTTCACTTTTGGTGCAGACATTTTAAATCTTAAAAGTCTCTTCCCTTTTCTATAAATCAGCTTCCCTCTCCAGAAGAGAAGTGTCAACAAGTTTTGGAACCTCCATATGATGAAATGTTTGCAGCTCATTTAAGGTAGAGTAAATTGGTGGTGGGTGGAAGGGAGGCCCTTAAATATTCTTAAATTTACTAGGTGATTTTATTTTGGATTTTTGTATTGAAATTATTAGAAAACTATCTTGATGGTTTTACTATGACATAGCCTATAAAAAGTTTATAAGGTTAACATGTATAAGTGCTTTGAAAAATTTTTTTTCACCATTTCAAGAAACTTGAGCCTTCCTTTATAGTTAAGTTTGTTGGTAATTATATTTTTGTATGTATATGTAGTATAAAATAAAATACACCATTTAATCTTTCTGAAGGCACTATATTTAATGTTTTCACTCGAGTGCGAGGAAAATGCATTCATGATTCTATTTTTAGCTTCACTATTAACTTGTTGTGTAGAAATGTCTCCTTGCCTTACTGCTGAGGAAACAGGCATGGAAGCAAAGTAAATATTATTTTGGATATAACTTCTTATAACTATTGTTAACTTCTTAAATACCCATTTGGCCAAACTATTCTAAAGCTAGGATGTGTTTAATTGGGAAGCCTAAATAGAGTTACTGAATAAGTGAGAGAGAAAGGCCTAATAAGGTAATGGGAGATTTCATTCTGGAAGTGAGATAGCCAGCACTTCCTACTGGTTTTCAACACACTGTTCAGATTTTGGTGGAGTTCCATACTTTCAAATAGCATGATGAAACTTGATAAGGCTTACTTGTCCTAGACATAAATCTATTTAAAGCTCCTTAACCCTATTAACATAGCTGAGGGCCACTCATCACACCAGGAAGAACTGACTCCCCACTTCTGGGCTTTCACAAAGTAGTTCCAAACCTGTGTGAGGGGTGGGACCATATTCCAACACTATCCAGCCTCACCTCTGAGACAGTTGTTTCTCTCATTTCCAATGCTCAATTTGGAACATTTCACTTATCGTTCAAAAACCAGTGCAAAGGTAGGGTCTTTTGTGGTAGAAGTGGGAGATATGTTTAAAGAATTTTTTCTAAGAATAAATTTTCTAAGACTTTTTTTTCTTTATAATAGGTGTACCTATGCAGTGGGAAACCATGATTTCATTGAAGCATACAAATGCCAGACTGTGATAGTTCAATATCTTTTTTTTTTTAATATCTTTTTCTCCCCATAGGTTGATTATGTAATAACTAAAGTGCTTAATTACAGATTCAAGAATGTGGAGCTTGGGAGGAGTTTTCTATACCTTTAATTGGAAAGGAATTGAAAAATATTAGGAAGTAAAATTTATTTTAGCCTTTCAATTCAGCATTTATTAAATAATAACATATAGTCCAAGGCACTATGCCAGCTATTGAAGAATATAAATATGAATATGACATAGTTCTTCTCATAGGTAGCTTATAGTTCCTTCTTAATTCATTCAGTAGCCATTGTATACCTACTGTGTGCAGCAAGGCATTGTATGACATAGGAAAAATAAGATGTATATCACTTCAAGATGTAAGTACACAGGAAAAGCTCGAAGTGTTGTCTGGCTTAAGTATTTGAATTCATATAAAAATTATGTCATAGGATGGAACATTGAGCCATATTGTGATCAAGGATTTTGTTAATGTTTCTATGGTAAAGGACAGTTATTTGTTTAATTTAAAGCTTTATGCCTTAATTATATCAGTTGGTTGAGCCTGAGTCTTGGAATTATGCTTTTAAAGCACATTAATTTTTCATGGTGACAAATGACCTTAAGGCATATTTAGTTTTTCACACCAATAGGTCATTAGCTTTGCTAATAGACTTGTAGCCAGAGCCCTGGTTGTTGATTGTGCTAATTTTTGTTTCCTGTCCTAGAGAGATAGTCTATTCAATCTTTTGCTATCTGACACACAGTCATAAGAAATGAGAACTTTATTATCTCTGGGTTTTAGATTTTCTAGTTGTAAAATTCTGTGATCCATTAAATAAGCTTTTACATCATAGGCTTCTGAATAACTGCCATTATAAATATAATGATATGATTGTCTAGGCTGGGGATAACCAAATATAATTTTTGAAAGTATACTACATGTTTTGCAGTGTTGTTATATAGCAGCATATTCCTGGACTTTGGGGCAGTAATTGGGAAGAAAAATTATTTTAAACTATTTATATCTGTTGAAATTTAGCAACTTGGAATATTGGTTTATAAAAATTAATTCTGAAGATATTAGTAACATAATTGGAAAATGGCAAAGATGAATGACTTTTTTAAAATGCTATTTCTATATAGTCTTTGTAAATATGACATATTTTGAGTTTTAGTCTATATCATATCTTCCTTAATATAATACATCTTTCTTGCGAGCATTTCAAGCCCACAAAGAAGAAAACTGGTAAGTAGTCTGCTAAAACAGTTAAAAATTTTTAAGTAGCAAATATTTTTTGGATCTTAAGCTTCTTTAAGCTGTAAATGTCTATTTTCTTTGTGAGTTTCTAAGATTGGAGTAAAAAAAAATTTGAACTCCATTATTCTGTGTAGTTTCATTGGCATGTCATCAAGACTGTACCATGTAAAAAATTTGGGCTGATATTATTCGTAAATAATCTTTTATTTCAGCTATCTCCTCTCCCCCTCCCCCCCAACTTTATTGAATATTATTTTTTCTCCTTTAAATCCTTTAACTGTTTTAAATCTTGACAACGCTTACATTTTTTTATGATCTCTTTTGTTTTACCTACCTTCATTTTATGCCCCTCATCTATATTTTTGTAACAAAAAAGTGAGAAAAAAAGCTGTTCACCAAAATTAACCAGCGTGTCAACTCCTGACAATGCAGTGTTGTTCAACAATTGTATTTCCTCATCTCTGCAAAGAAGGGAATGTATTTACTCATTTCTTTTTTGTGGACAAATATATTTGACTCTAATTTTGATTTTAAACTTTGTATAGATGAAACAGGTTGAAAAGATTTGCTTGTAGGGATGTATTGTGTGACAGGTCATTCAGTAAACCTCTGCTCTGGTCAAAACATTTTGCTGGGCACTGGAGAAGATGCAAAGGTTAGATAACCTGTGATCCCTGCCGCTCATGGGGGGGATGAAAAACACGTGTGCGCGCGCGCGCACACACACACACACACACACACATACATCAGTACCTTAAGCAGGTGCAGTATATCAAATGAGATCATGTAAGTAAAGCCCTTCACAAACTTTAAAGCAGTAGATAACATTATTAATTATTATGATGATGGGAGGGGAAGATTGTTACTGACACATTCCCATGTGACGGTGGCATTTGAGTTGACCTTAAAGGATAGGTAGGAGTTAAGCAGATGAAGAAAGATGGGAGGATATTTTAGGCATAAGGAGTGTGATAAACAAAAGGCCTAGAGCAGGGGTTCTTAGCCTAGGGTCTGTGAACTTTAAAAAAAAATATTGGTAGCTGTATTTCAATGTAATTGATTTTCTTTGTAATTCTGGATAATTTATTTTATGTATTTAAAAATATTATTCTGAGAAGGGGTCCATAGGCTTTACCAGACTGTCCATGGGATCCATTTACAACACCAAAAAGTTAAAGAAGCTCTGACCTAGAGGATCCAGGGAATGTTGGGAGATAGAGATTAAGTTCATTAAGTGAAAGAGAGTAATATTAGAAAAGTAGGGTGGCATCAGGTTGTGGGAGACCTTGATTGCCAGTAGTTTAAACTTTTCTTGGTGGACCACTGTAGAAAATTTTTGAGCAGACGAGTATATGCCTAAATCATGTATGAAAGTGCAGGTGGACCTATTGGGAAGTTTTAAGAGAAAATTACTTTAAATACTTAAAACTTTTTTATTGTTATTTCTGTAGGGCTTTGCCTATTATGTATGCTGTAGCACTTGACCTTCGAATTTTTGCTAATAATGTAAGTAACAGTGAAACATAGAATGTTATGATTACTTAGTTAACTTTAAACTCAGTATTTAAAATCTATTATTAGCTCCTGCATAATTTTATTTTCTTTTTTCCCACATTTTCAAGAATTGGAATTATTTGGCGTGGAGAAGAAAACTTTAGGAAGTAACTTAACTGATTCTACACTTTTTGAAGGCCATAATTAAATATGTAAATAAGTGCTAGGATTCTGAGGGGATATTTGTGTGGATAGGTTGTATAGTTGTGCATGTAGCTAGCCACAAATGTGTGATTCTTGCCATGTAGTTGCCAAAGGGGCTTCATTATTCTGCCAATGATTCTATAGGAGGTGCTCTTGTTTTTCTATCATTACAGGAGATAAGCCCTCTTTTAAGCCATTGTACTGTGAGAAAGTGTAGATTCAAGTGACAGCTAAAACATTCTCTAGTATGAGTATAGCCAGACATTAGCTAATGCTAGGCTATGCAGATATGTCTTCCCTGGTGGCTGGGCATAGGACAGCATAGTCAGAGAATACAAAAGGAAAGAAGCAAGAAGTCTTTCCTTTTACTTCCCAATTTATGACCTTTAAGCGTATGAAAAGTTGTTATTCCATAGTAGTGACTCAGTCATCCTTTGTCTTTACTGAGGACTAAGCCATAAATGCAACACAGGGGTATTACATTCTTTTCTTAGTATTTCCATCACTTAACAGAGTGCCTGGTGCGTAGTAAATGGTAAATAAATTCTTGTTTACTGACTGATATGAGGAAGAACTTAAGTAACTCCTTAGTTAAATTTTGAATAATTTATTTTTCCATTTGGACCTGTGATTTCATCAATGTGAAGAACTCTCTGATGTGGAAACTTCTTCCATGAATGTAGGTCAACAGCTTTTCTGCAGCTGATTGCCCAAGATTCATTCTGAGATGTTATGTGTCTGACTTGCCCCTTGTTTGATTTGATCTGGTTTCAATGCTGGCTCTCTATCCACTTCACCATGCTCCCTCTCAAATTATTTATTATGAAGGTAAAACTGGTTAAATTGGAATATGTTACCTAGCAGAGTCAGGATGCTGTTGAGTCTTATGTAGAGTTTTTTTAAAATGATAATTTTCTGTTTTTAAATTCTTTAAATATAGTAGCATCTAACTTCTCAGATTTTATTCTATAATTATGAATTTGTATTTTAGCTTTAAAGTCAAATATTTTATACTTCACAGTCATTCAGAAGATTTATTAAGCTTATAAAGTAATCCAGAAAAAAAACAGAACACTTTGTATTCTGTTAGGCTGACCAACAGTTGGTGAAGAAAGGGAGAAGTAAAGTTGGGGATATGTTGGAAAAAGCAGCTGAATTATTGATGAGCTGTTTTCGAGTCTGTGCCAGTGATACGTAAGTAAAGAGTCGAAGTTTATGTTTAATTCAATTCACTAAATCTCTGTTGAATGCTTACTATGTGCAGAATACTGTGCTAGGATTGAGGGGGCATACAAGATGAGTAGGACAAAATATCCTTAGGAGTTTACTATTTAGTAAGATCCTAATCACTAAGGATTCTTTGTTGTAGTTGTCATTTGTGAGTTGTTTAATCATGTTATTGTGTGGTGCTGAGAAATAGCCAGTGAGTTGGTTGTTAATCTGCACAATTTTTTCATTTACTTTAATCAACCTAATTTCTGTGCAAATACCCAAAGTCTTCAAAGAAAAATTATAGATTAGCAGGTAAAATAGATGAAATTCTACTTTAAAGCATTAAAATTTCTAGAAACACTAGAACATAGCTGTTACATATCCCCATTTTTAATCCCTTTTCATAATCTACTTTGCACACTCAGGAAGCAAAGCAACATCTGTGCTACAGGTTAAAAAAAAGTCTTATAACTATTACCCTACTTGTTTTACACAATATACAAATTATTTGTTAGGAATTCTATTTCTGTATTCTGAATCTAACACCCAAGAAAATGAGTGTTTCTATATGCAAAGTAGAATAAAAAGTATTGCCCATTAAACTGTGACTACTGGGGACAGCTTGCTTTTCTTTTTAAGCATATAATAAATATAACATGTAATTTTCAAGAGCTATCCTGCGTGTCTTGTTTCCTTTTGGCCTTATATTCTCTTTGAATTTTAGCAAAATGCTTTGTTAGCCCTTCTCTCTCCCTTCCCGTCCCCTCTTTCCCTTCCCTCTTCTTCCTTCTTATTCCTTCCCTGTTTCCATCATTATAGACCCTTTCCCTTCTATTGCCCTCGCCACAACTGGAAAAAAAATTTTTTTTAGCTCTTCTAATAAAAGAATTCCAGTAATGGCCATATATAAAAATATGTGTCTCATTCTACACCTTAAGTACATTGCCTCTCTATTAGGAAGGTGGATAACATGCTTCATCATTAGCATTCTGGTATTGGGGTTGATGACTACATACAATAATATAAATTATCTTGAGAGTAAATTGAAGAACATAAAAGTAGGATGGTTATTCTTAAAGAGCTAAAGTGTGTGCCTTTGTGTCAAAGAGGTCATGCTTGTATTTTGAGTCCCCAAGACAGTCCATCCTACCTGATAGCCCAGCACTTTTCCCATTTTAGAGTATGCTGGTCACAACATGATATAAACTTTTATTACTAACAGATACCACTGTCAGCACTTTTAAGTTAACTCCCTCATTACTTAGCTCTTCCTTATCTCCAAGATTACCAGTGTTGCAGTCTTTGGCTTACAGATCTTTCCATTCTACTTTGTTGGCATAGACTGCTCCTGTAAGTTGATTTCTACCCTCTATCAGAATCACCATTCCTACATGGTTTTCTCATAGCACCGCTTCTAGAGGCCAGTTCTTTATGATCACTTGGTCATTTGCCTGCTCTGAGTCATCTATTCATAGCTCTTCTTAGCTACTTTAGACATTAATAATAAGAAATCTGCAAGTTTCCCCTCTTGATATATAGTAATTAAAGATCCTTCAAGGACGCTTCTCCTAATGCAGTGAATTACTGAAACAGGACTCTTCTATTCTTGAGAATCTGTTATTGCACAAAAGTGATAAATACCACTCCATTAGATTTTTTTCTGATTTGCTGCTTTTGGGGGAAGTCATTGCTACCAACTCCATATTCTTTCAGATCCCCGAGGAGAAAGTTGGGTGATGTTTTCTGAAGGGACCGCACCTCAACGTTTTAGTGGTCCCTATTCATACCAACTGTTCTTTAGCTTTCGTAATGTGCAGACAGCACATTTTGTAAATTAGATTTGCAGATAGTTATGAGTGCATGAATAAAAATGGTCTATAGGAGTTAGTCATGACAGACTTGATATCTAATTTCTCTAAAATTGTAAATTAAAAGAAATTATTTGAATACAACAGGGGGATGTCAGAAGCTGATCCTGAATCTCTCTATAGTGATGCTCATAGTTTGGGTGGGCAAGTGAGTGAGTGAATGAATGGAAGAAAAATCAGGTAATGGTCAGCTAGGTGGCACAGTGGATAGAGTGCTAAGCCTGATGTCAGAAAGACTCAACTTCCTGAGTTCAGATCTGGCCCTCAGACACTTACTGGCTGGGTGACCCTGGACAAGTCAGGTAACCCTCTTTACCTAAGTTTCCTCACCTATAAAATGAGCTGGAGAAAGAAATGGCAAACTACTCCAATATTTTTGCAATAAAAAAACCTCAAATGGGGTCACAAAGAGTCAGACACCACTGAAATGATTGAACAAGAGAAACTATCTGAATGTCTTCCAAAAAGTCTTCCTAATCAGTTATGCTTCCTAGATTCAGGAAAGACTCTCCTTCAGTTGAAATTTTGATAACTTTCCTATTTGCTCCCAGTCGGTAAAGTAGATGTCTAACCTTTGCCTCCCCAAGCATGGGTGTGCATGTACTCTTCTGCAAATGAATTTGTGTTCTCTAAGGTACCAGCCAAAGGTTCATTATTAGGGAGAAATATACAGATTTTGTTCGAATTTCTATGCCTCATATTTTGTATTGGCAGACTTTACTGGTCTAAAACTAGTTTTTCAGATACTTAACGTTTTAGGGGCTAGCATGTATGTCTTTTTGATAATTTGTACAAAATCAATTAAAGTTTTTGCCACTTTAAATGGAGTATGTCACTTCCTTTCCAACATTCACTAAAATATTGGAAAGAAAAGAATCTGGGTTTGATATAAATAATGACATTGTCCCAAGAATTAAGAAATCTGAGTCCTAGTTAGAGCACTGCCACTGCTCAGTAGATAAGAGTGCTGAGCCTGGAGTCAGGAATACTTGAGTTCAAATCCAACCTCAGATTCTTCCTAGCTGAATGACCCTGGGCAAGTCACTTAACTTCCATCTGCCTTAGTGTCTTCAGCTGTAAAATATATGTAGTAATACGATCTACCTCACAGGATTGTGAGGATCAAATAAGATAATACTTGTGAAGTGCTTAGAACACTGCCTGGCACATAGTAGGTATTTAGTAAATACTTGTTCCCTTTCCTTCCTTTCCCTGTGTGATCTTGGCAAAGTCAACTGATTTCCCTGGAACATAGTTTCCTTATCTATAAGATGAAAGGGTTTTACTATGGTCCCTGTAAGCTCTAAAGTCCTGTGATTCTAGAAAGCTTCTGTAAAGGTACATGCTTATTCTATAAAGGTGTTTTTAAAACACAGAGAGTTTTCCTTTGTGAAAGTAAAGGATAAAGGCAGTCATATGAATAATTAAGTATTCTTAATTTCTATTCTAATTACAGTTATTTAAACAATTTTAGTTAATTTTAAAAAATTTTCTGAAAGTGGTTTTTATTCTTTGCTTTGTTTATAGATACTAGACTGGGTTAATAATGAAGGCATTAAGGAATCAGGGGAAAAGAAGTATGCACTTCTTCATATGAATTTACAGTACAGGAAAGAAGTGCAGAGCACTGTGCTATGATCTGTAAGAAGTTACAACATTTCAGTAAGACATGGTCCTCAAGGAGCCTACGGTCTAGTGAGGGATTAGACACCCATCCCAATAGCTATATATGATATTCATTGTAAAGCTACAAACAAAGTGCGATGTGAAGTGTGTAAGGATGCAGATTGTTATCAATGGAAGGAATTATGGAAGACTGTCTGTAATGAAGTTGGCTTTTGAATTGTGCTCTAAAGATTGGCTAGGTATTTAATAGCTGTGGAGAAAGGAAGACATGTTAGACATAAAAAATGGTGTGAGTGAAGGCATAGTAATAGAAAACACATTGCATGTTCATGGGGCCAAAAGCAGTCTAGTTTTGCTGTGGTGAAAATACAAAGAGGGGAGTGAGTAATATGAGATGAGGCCAGAAGGATAGTATGGTACTAGATTGCAGAGAATCTTAGGTGCCAGGTGGAGTTTCCATTTTACTCAGGCAAGAGAGAGCTGCTGGCAGTAACGTGACCAGATATATACATGAGAAAAATTATTCTTGTAATGGTGTAAAGCGGCACTTCTTAAACAGTATGGAATCGTGACCCATAGTTTAAGAAGAGTGAAGGGGTTGCGAGTGGAAAAAGTTTAGGGAGTCCTGGTGTAAAGGAGAAATCAAACATTAAATTGGACCAGGAAAACCCGTGAAGTGGTGATTGGTGTTAGGCAGATGGGTGTAATTAGGACCTGTACCAGAGTGGTGAATTTCTCTCAACAGACTGAGAGAGAGATTCAAGAGGTGTTGCACTCCCAAAGGCTCATCATATTGGGGTTGGCCTCGGTGTGGTCACCCACTCAGCTTTAATTCCACTGTAGTTCTGAACTCCCAAACTCAAGCTCTTCCCCTGCCTCAGCCTTTCCCAGTAGCAGGGGTCAAGGGGTCATTGGCATGCACCACCACGCCTAACCAATTCAAAGTAATTTGAAAAGGTAGGGTCAAGAAGTTAACTATATTTGAAAAGTTAACTATAATAGTACAGGGTTGTACAATAGTATAAGGATGAGGATTTTCAGGTCAGAAATGGCTGAAAGTTCAGGGAAAGGGGGATTCTGTAGCGGCAGTTTGTGAAACATTCAAGTGGTTGGCCATGAAGATCCAGAGGTCAGGAGACTGAAGATCATGCCAAGGGCATTGAGAATGATAAAGATAGGAAGTTATAGTCAGAAGAATTGTAGAAATCCTGGTTCTTGGAGGTGACTCATTTCAGAGAGATGATGTCTGTGGCTGAAGTGGAGTAGGAAAGGTCAGTGAAGGTGAAGAGGTTGAAGAATTGTGTAGTCTGGTTAGTGAAAGGGGTTTTAGTATTAACAATGAAATCCCTGAATGCAGTAGTAGGGAAAGAGGGTGGAGGGGAAGACATTGAGCTAAGTATGAAAGTCACTAGAAAAAAATGGAAGGATAATCTGGAGGTTGGAATATAACTACAAAAATATGGGGAGCAGATAATACAGATGAATTACATGGAACTTCAAAGAGAGAGATCATTAAGAGATAATGATAGAGGAATAGTCTGGAATTGTCAGTGGGGAGACAAGTAGTATGTCCACTAATTTTCATAGCTAAGTTATGAAGAATGACTTCCAGTGGAGACAGTCTCAAGGGATGTGAGGTCCACAGATGAGAAAAAGGTTTTGTTTAGAGTGAAGAGGTGGAGCTTAATTGAAGATGGAAGGATATTTGTTGACAATAGAGTTAAGGGATGTAAAGGGCACAGTGGAATGGGCAACTTAGTTTAATTTAAATTCAAATTGTTCAATCTTAACCTTGTTTTATGTTCATGTAATAGGACATATCTTAGCTTTTTCTGTTTTTCCAAACTGCTTTTCACCATTAGGCCTTTGCATAACATTGCTGTAAACTGTTTTTAGAATAGGTTAGACAACTTGACCTAAGAGATGTTAAATCAGGATTACAATTCCTGATTCTCAGCCTTTTTAGTGTCATGTATTAGATAACTTTTTTTTTTTCCTGCTTCCATTTTAGTAGTGACATGTGAAGGGCCCTTGGCTCTTACAACTTTCTTTCTGAAAGCTTATTTGATTTATTGTTTGTTTTTCTCATTTTAATTAGTGACAAAATTTTCACTTCTTTTTCTTGCAACAGTCGTGCTGGTATAGATGATTCTAAGAAATGGGGAATGCTATTTCTGGTCAATCAACTATTTAAAATTTATTTCAAGGTAGGTTTCTAGTTTAATACTTGATAATAATGTGTATTTATAAAGTGCATTTTCTTTCTAGGAAGATTATCTCATGAATGCTACATTTATCTTAACCCTGCTTGAGGAAAGTAGCAAGTTTTATGACTTTCATTTTATAGAATGGTTTTAATATTCTTACTGAGATAGTATAGTACTATTTTATCTAACATTTAATTTTTGTATATTATGTGCTAACTTGAATCTCTTCTTTACAGATCAACAAACTTCATCTTTGTAAGCCCTTAATTAGAGCAATTGATAGCTCAAATCTGAAAGATGACTACAGCACAGCACAGAGAGTTACATACAAGTACTATGTTGGTCGCAAGGCGATGTTTGACAGTGATTTTAAGCAAGGTATCCTAATAGAATAAGTTATTGATATTGATATTGATAGAGGGATTGAAAACAACATGCTTCATAATAAAAAAAAAACTTCAGCTCATTCTATAGTTACTACATTTCAGTTCCAGTTAGGACAACAGTGGTCCACTGCTGAACAGTTACGAGCTAGTTGGGCTTTTGTGCAAGGTAGTGATATGATCTTATCTGTTACTCAAAAAGATGATCATAACATCTGTGTGACAGATAGCTTAGAGAAGACAGTGACTAGAGGCAGGCCTTTTAGGAGATTTGTATAATAATCCAGAGAAGAGGAAATGAATACCTGAACTAGGGTGGTCTCAATAGGGCTAGAAAGGAAAGCACAGATGCAAGAGAGATTTCACACGTAGAATTGATAAGACCTGGCCGTTGATCAGATACGTTATGGGGGCAAGGGAAAGGGAAGAATAAAAAATTATTCTTAAATTGTGAGCCTGAGTGACAAATAGAAGAGTAACACCATCAACAGAAATAAAGAAGGGGTGGGATTGGGGCAAGAGCAGCATGACAGGTTTGACTTTCTGAGTTTGATGGGATGGGCTGTCCAATTTGAGGTATCTAGGTAGGTAGGTAGGTATGTAGAAATTCCCAACTGGGGCTAAGGGGAAAAAGGTCAGAACTGGAGGTAGAGATTTAGGAGTTAACCTGCATAGAAGCGATTCAGTTTAGGTCTGCATCATCATGGTACAATGGAATGGGTGTGCTGTGTTGGCTCCGATATCAGAGGACTTTGGTTCAGATTCTACTTTTGGCACTTAATAACTGTACCACCTTGTGCAAATCACTTAAGCTCTTTGGGCCTCAGATTCTTCAACTATTAAAGAAAAAGATTTGGCTGGATGGTTTTTGTGGTCCCCTACATCTTTAGATCTATGATTACTGAAGTCATGGGATTGTGGTTGCTAATGGAAAGTGTAAAAAGAGAAAAGAAAGAATAGATCCTGGCTCATGTTTGGGGGGGAGAAAGAGAAGAAGAGGAAGGAGGCAGTTAAAAAGACAAAAGGAATGACCAGAAAGGGAGGAGAACCAGGATAGTGCAGTGTTATAGAATCCACTGGAGGAAGGGCAGGGGGAAGAAAAAGGGTGGTCATTAGTGTTAGATGCAGCAAAGGGATTAAGCAGAATCAGAACTGAAAACAACCATTGGATTGTGGTGGAAAGAGCATTGGGTTTGAAATTGGTAGACTCAGATTAGGAGCTTGCCCTTCTGGTTAAAATAACCAGAACAAGTTAAATAACCAAACAAGTTAAAACTTGTTTGAACTTGAGTAAAAGTCACTTCACCTCCCTTGGTATCACTATCCTCCTTTATCTCTAAAATTGGTGGGTGGTAGTAGATGATTGAGAGGCAGCATGGTTCAATGAAAAGTACTGAATTTGAGGTCAGAGGCCATGGGTTCAAATCCTGCCTCTGCCTCTTACAGAGCAAATCATTTAACCTCTCTGTGCCTTAGGTTCCTCAGCTAGAAAATAAGTGGGATAGACCACATAAACTACAGGGTTTCTTCCCACTCTAAATCTATGATTCCAGGATGTCTAAGGTCCCTTCCAACTCTTAAATTCCTATGGACTTGTCAATAGGGAAGTTCTAACGTCTGTGGAGAAAGCATTTTTTTAGTGGAATGTTGTGGGATAGAAGCCAGATTGCAAGTAGAGGCGTGAGGGAATAGCAAAGAATTATAGGCAGTAAGTGTAGACTACTTTTTATAGAAGTTTGGCAGTGAAGCGGGGAGAAATAGGATGGTACTTGTAAGGGGTAACAGGGTCAAGGGAAGGATTTTATAGAATAGGAGAGACCTGAACAGATTTGTAGATCTAGGAGAAATATCAAATGTGGGAGATGATTATGAGATCCTGAAGGAAATAGGAGAAGATAGGATCAAAGGCACGGATGGAGCTTTGGAAAAGTGAAGGACCCCTCACCCCCTGAGACCATAGAAGCGGCAAGACTTGGCAAAGGTTGTGTGAGGGTGTTGAGGACACTCAAATAGCCTTGAACTTTCCTAGTCCAACCTGAACAAGAAATTCCTGACAAAGGGTCGTCTAAGCTTCACTTATAAATCTTAAGTTATAAGCGCTCCACTCTGTCCCCAGCCAGCCCATTCCATCTTCAGCTAGCTCTCCAGGTTAGGAAGTTTTTCCTTCTGTCAACCAGTAATGCACATTTTTCAGTATCCACCATTTTTCTTCATTCTGCCTTTTGAAGACCTGTAAGACAAATTTAATCCCTCTTGAGTATGACTGATCTTTAGTTTCATGAAGAAGACAGTTATGTTTCTAAAGAGTCTTGGCTCCTCTAAGTTAAACAGCAGAGTTCCTTTTATTGATCCCTAGATTGCATGATGTATCCACTTTGTGTGTGTATGTGTGTGTGTGTAGCCTTATCATTGCTAGCTATTATCAGCCTTTAGTACTGGTTTCTGACATGTAACAAGCACTGTAAAATGCTTGTTAACTCCCATTGATTACATTTGCTTTCAGTTTTCCACCTGTTCAGCTTTAGAGGAAGTAAATATACTTAAAATAAGCTATAACTTTTATGCTTGGAAAACACTGTATTTGTAAACCTGTGGTTATTCTTTTATTTTAGGTGATAAAATTGACATATGAAGAAGTTAAGTGATTTTATAGTTACATAGTCTGTTGATTTAAACTTGAAAGTTCAATTCACAGCCATTAAATTCAATGGTACTTGGTTACCAAGCTTTCTGCCTTTTTTCTCTAGTTAGTGATTAATATATATGCAGAGTTTTCTACTGTTTTTAGTTTCAAAGGAAACATTAAACCAACATTGAGAAAATTGTTAATAAGATTTTTTAAATTTTATACTCTCTTAGCATCATCAGTTTTCTCAGCATTATTTATTTGTTTTTGGATTTTTCTTCAATAGTAGTGAGATTGTTCTATATACCACGTCTGTTAAATCACTTAGATCATATTTCAATCATCTGTGAAATGAACCTGCTACAAATACTTGGTAATAGTGTGAAAACTCTGCATTCTGCTAGCAATTGTATTTCATTTTACAGGACTATACAGATCAGTTTCTCCTTTAACCAAGCCTGCAACTTAGGAAAATAAATGACTGGGATAGTTTTTTTTTTTAAATGCTATGAATTTGCATAGTAACTTGTTTTGAGCTTATTGTAGTTAACATTTAGTGTACTAATATTTTTCCTTTGAGCAGGTGCTCAGCTTTAAAAAAGATATCTAATTTTCTAGAAGTGAGTTTGTTAATATTATCCCATATAGATATTCCTATATCTGTGTTTTGTGTTGAATCTGAGGCCATCATAGCTTTAATATTGATACATGATTTAAATTAAAAGGATAATCTTAAAATATTATAGGCATATCTCACATAGTAAAATAGTGTTCCTAAGCTGTAAAACCAATTTTTGTCAATTTAACAAAAATTTTCATTGGGTTATAATTTGAGTTTTGTACTGAGGGAAAAAGAATTGGTTTCAAGTTATAGACTTTAGAAATCAACAGAAAGGCTCATGCTTAGTAGACATGGAGAAAATATTTACCGTATTCAAGAGCACAGGGTTTAAGAATCTTAAGTGTCAACTCAGGTTGACTATATATACTATGCTATAATACTACCCAGTTTCTGTGCTTCAGATTTCCCCCAATATCTGGTAGCAAGTGGAATGATTTATGGTTTGTCCAACATCAAAGCCAAGTCAGGTTAAAGGGATCACCTAATCTTGACCTTATTTCCAGTAGTTTAGTAATTTGAAGAGTACAGAAACATTCAAGTACTCACAAAATCACTCCACGTTATTTATTTAAATCTTAAAGTAGACCCTTTGCCTTTAGCAGGACTTATTTCAAATTTTAATTTGTAAATGATATTAAATCACGTAGTAGAATCCTTTTTTAATATTGGTATGCAGGAATGGAATGAAGATGTTAATGGACACCTCATTCATTATATTAGACTTTGTAGTTATGTTGAGTTCATTTGCTCGTGGTATTTGAAAATCTGTAATAATAAGAGTCTGCTTATAAGTCGTCATGTGGTTTAAAGGAAATAGTATGATCCAGTAAATTCTGTAATTGTTCCAGAGGGCAGCGAGTGCTACTCTATGCAATTTTTATCCTGCATGACTGTATGTTCATTTCAGAAGCCTCTACAAAGACTATAGTCTCTTTTTATCATATTCATTTTTTCAAAGTGTGTGTATTGTTGCCTTTTGTGTAGACTAATTATGGTGCTTCAGCCTTGCCAAATATCCTTAGACATCTGGCCTCAGACACATGATACTCACTAGCTGTGTGACCCTGGGCAAGTGACTTAACCTCATTGCCTCACCAAAAAAAAAAAAAACCAAACCCAAATATCCTTAGACAATTCTTATCAATTTTAATGAGGCGTAATTTTTTTCTTATTCATAGAAAACAGGCTAACTCAGGCAATCTATGTTTAATCTTGGTGAGGTCTACCCTTAGGAAAAATCATCGATTACAGGAATTGAGTTAGGCTGCATTTTTGTATGAGGAAAAGAGACTACTTTTTGTCCTAGGCTTAGGAGGGATAAAGTGTAATATATGTTACTCTAATGTTGATGAAGCACTGAAAAATGTTTAGGATGACCTTTAATTTATATATTCTTTGGGGTGGGGGGTGTTCTGCCTACAGCTGAAGAATATCTATCATTTGCCTTTGAGCATTGTCACCGTTCAAGTCAGAAAAATAAAAGAATGATTCTGATTTATCTGCTGCCAGTAAAAATGCTGTTGGTGAGTGATCTTTATTTTTCTGGATCTATTGACTTTGAAGTGGAATGAATAATGCCTTGCTTGCAAATTTTATGTTCTTAATTTATCATTATCTCAACTGTAATGTGTCATTGGAATAATAGAGGAAAAGGAGATTTAGGAGGTGGGTAGAACTAATTATATAATGAATATTTTGGGGACATCTCAGCAGCCTTATGCTTCTGTTACCTTCCTTTTAAAAAAAATGACCCCCCCTTATCATGATCATTATTATTTTCACAAAACATTTAAGTTAGCCAACCTTACCTGAGAAAGACTGACTCCCAAAGCATGGAAAATGTAACACCTCTTATTTCATCTTAGCTGTACTTAATTTCTGCCCATTAAAGTTATTTTTGGTATTTAAAAAGAAATGGATAGTGTTTGTTAGACTTAATTGAATTACTTTTCCTGTATTAAAAACATCCTTGTGCAACTATCTTTAGGGGTAATAAATTTTAAGAAGGCAGTCAATAAATTTTTTTGTTTTACTTTATTATTTACTGGTTAGGAGTTTATAGAGGCTTGTTCAGTTTATAAATACCAAAATTTTTATTCCACAAAATGTAAACATTTTTCATAGGGTCATATGCCAACAGTTGAGCTTTTGAAAAAATATCATCTTATGCAATTTGCAGAAGTAACCAAAGCTGTGAGGTACAGTATGTTCTCTTATTTATTAATTTTTAAAATACCATAAAATTAGTTCTGAGTGCATTTGTCAGATTTAAAAAATAGCTTTGTTTGGTAATTCTCGCTGGGATAATAAATTACACTTGTCTATCTTTTCTGTCAATCACCATAGTGAAGGAAATCTTCTGCTCCTGAATGAAGCTCTTACAAAACATGAAACCTTCTTTATTCGCTGTGGTATTTTCCTTATTCTTGAGAAGCTGAAGATCATCACCTATAGAAATCTCTTTAAGAAAGTGTAAGCATGTCCCTTCTTTTTGTTAAATAACAAAAGATATTGCACAGGGGCAGAGAAGAGATGTTTAGTAGGGGTGAAGTGTTTGTGGGAAATATCTTTTTCTCAGTGTATCAATTCATGTTTTAAATGTAAGCCAAATATACTTGTTGGGTTTGTTTGGGTGTTTTTTGGAGCAATATCTGCTAAAAAAATCTATTAATGACTTTTTTAAAAAAAGCATATCAGTGATATTAATCCTGAACTACTAGAATGCATCATATAGTATATAAATTATATACTGTAAATAAGTTATGAAAAACAAAGGGTGTTCATTTTCTGGAGACATGGAGAATTTGTCCTATCAGTCTATTCTCTGACTATAGCCCCACAATTTTTTGTTCAGCCATGGGCAAAGAAATGAAGCTGGCCAAACAGTTTTCCCCTACTGTTCCCTAATCCAAAGGACCACTCCGTCCCATCGTGGGCTTATCCCATGGTTCATCAGTGGCTTGTTGTTGTTACTGTTGTTGTTTTGGCAGTGGGTTAAAAAAAGATTTAATTCTCCTTTATGATTTGGAAATGCTTACATATATATTGAAAAATAAAAGAAGACTTTAAAACGTAAGTTTGAATCACATGCTTTAGGCATATGTTGAATTAGTTGCCCTTTTTTATTAAAAATCAACTAAATATTGCTTTCCCCTTCAAAAATCAGAAAATTAAATCTGTTACCATTATAGCTTTTTATATTATTATTATATTATATATTATAAGGCTTTTTTCCCTCTGTTTTCCCAGTAAGAGCTGAGCTTTTGAATGCCAGCAAGCAAAATAAGATTTTATAATCTTTTAAATCAAACTTTTGGTTAGAATGGTAAATCTCTGAGTGTCATATCAAGTTATTAAGTTAATTGATACTGAAGGAATAAAAACCTTTTAACTGTAGGAGATAACTTTGTAAATTAAACCCACATCATCTCTGAAAAGGAAATTGACTTAATAGATTTTATTTCAGATCATAATTTTTAGTTTTATTGAAGACCATCTGTTACCTAAAGTATGCTGAGTGACATATTTTTTATTTTAATCCATCGATATAATTAGTTATTTTTTCTTATCAAATGGTGCTGTATGCTAAAATGTAACTAAAATGTATTTTCTCATTTCAGATACTTATTACTCAAAACACATCAGCTTTCTCTTGATGCTTTTCTGGTTGCCTTAAAATTCATGCAAGTTGAAGATGTTGATATTGATGAAGTTCAGTGCATTTTAGCCAATCTCATATACATGGTATGTATTCTGTTTAATTTAATTTCAGTGGCCATAATAGAATTTTATTTAGAATTTGCATTTTTTATTAAAGTAAACCTAACACTACTTAGTGATCTATTCTTTTTTGTTAAACCATTTCAGTATCTTTCTCTTAATAAAACAAGTTTTCTTTGATATACTGTAGTATGCAGAGGGCTTCTATAGTTGTGTAACTTTGATTCCTATACCAAATTACAATGAAGTAACTTGGGTGATCATTGTGAATTTGGATTCATGCCAAAGACTGGATTCTAACCTTTGCATCTTTAATGTGATTTCAAGAAGTATGAAGCCAATTCTAAATACCCTCCTTTTATTCTTTTCTCTTCTTTCAGGGTCACATTAAAGGATACATATCTCATCAGCATCAAAAGCTAGTGGTTAGCAAGCAAAACCCCTTTCCTCCACTTTCAACTGTGTGTTGATTGTACAACACTAAGTCTAAACAATTTTTGCAAAAAATTAAACTTGTAAAACTTTTTTTTTTTAAAATAAGCCATGTAGTTGAAACTCAAAAGTAATCCTGTTACATTTGGAAGTGGAATCTTGGAAACTTCTCATGGCTTCTTTCCCAGGGACACAGAGGCTATGAACTTGGCAGAGTACCTAGAGGACATGAATTGCTCCTTTATAAAATACAGCTTCTGTTAACTTCAGTACGATCTGAAGTTTCTCTATAGGAAAAAAGAAAACATTCCTACTCTACTATGAAGCTTTTATAAAACTTCTTAAAAGATGGTGTTTTGAATATTTTAAAGGCAGCTACATATTTTACTTTTCATGATATTATTCATAAAATGACCTTTGTACTTTTTCATTACTGTTTTGAAAAAAAAACATTCAGGATGTATGGAAATATGGTGTATTCTCTATCATCTTTTAGAGTATTAGGGTTTTAGTGTTCCATTTGAATACTGTTTTGTCCATAACAGCTTGGCAACTTTAGATTCCTTTAAGAGGCAAATCACATCTTATTTTGAATGCTTCTTTTCCTTGTATTTGCTTGTTATAGCCTACATTCCCAGATTTTACAGGATAAGCACATTTTTTTTTTCTGACTGTGAAAAATGCTTTGGAAAATCATTATGGCCCCAGACCCCCAAATCATTGCAATATTGCAAGTTTGTTGCACAGAAACTCTCTATAAATATCTGTCCTCTTTGTCCCAGGGAAACAATCCTTCTAGAGTTCAGATTCCTCCCAGTCTGCCAGGAATACAAAGGTAGAGCCCCCACTCCTTGTTCTTTCTTATTTTCAGGTTTCCTTGAACTCTGGCAAGACTGTTTTCCCCATTCCCTCAGTATTGTGAATGCAATGAGAGTGATTGAAACAGCTATAGACTAGCTCTTTGCTTTTCCATGTCATATCTCTCAATAGTCTTGGAATTCCTAGTAGCAATCTGATTTAAGACCTACGTGAATCATATTCTCCATTTCTCAGTACGGTAGAGATCCCCACAGAAGCATTCAGAAATTACTCAAAAAAGGATGTAATCTCATTGCAAGAGGTCTTCCCTGCTGTAAGTATTTTGATAATGAAATTTTTGCTGTACCAAAATAAATTTTCTAACACCCCCCAAGTATCCTCATTTGGAGGGGTTTGGTTTTATGTATGTGTTAAACTATGAACCACTATACAAATGTATGGTATATTTTTTTTAATGTTAGATAATTTTTCATCTTTGCATCATTTAAATTTCTCCCTGCATCCCTGTTCCTTTTTACTCCCAGAGAGCCATTCCATGTAACCAAAAAACCACAAATCAAGACAAAGAAGAAGAGAAAAAAATCTGCAAAACTACCAGTACAATAAAAAAAAATGACAATATATGCAGTATTCCATACTGCTAGACCCTCAACTTCTGCAAAGGAATACCAGGGAGAGAGGAGTTGTCTTCCCTTATTTCTTCTTTGGGTGATGCTTATTATCTGTAGTTTTGTAGAATTCATTTTCAGTTTTTTTGCGGTTCTTTTAATTTATATTGTAGTCGTTGTGTATATTTTCTTGGTTCTGCTTTTATCATTTTCTATCCTTTCATTTTAGTCTTTCTGTGCTTTTCTGTATCCATCATATCCATCACTTCTTACAGCATAACAGTATTCTGTTACATTGTTTCATAATTTGTTTAGGCATTCTTCAGTTGATGGGCATCTGTCTTGCTTCCAGTTCTTTGATATGAAGTATTACTTTGGCAGATAGTGCAGTATTATAAATAAGCACTAGAGTTTGAGGACTTGAATTATCACTGCCCTAGCATGACCATTTACTGGATCTTTGACCATAGGCAGATCCTTAATCTTTTCCAAGACTGTTTTAACAGTCAAAAGTTATGTGCATAACTTTGAGAAGACTAAAGAAAATGAAAAATTTTTTTCCTAGATGTTTTTCTCATTGTCTACTTTATTTTTTTATCAGTAAATTTCATATTTGAAGCTATGTTAATTGGCCTATAGGGAATTAACATTTTCTTTAGAATTAGCAAACCAAAGATATTTAATTAGTTGGAAAGTTGAGTTTAAGATTTCATACATTCAGAAGTAATCTTGAAATAACATTCTATCTTGAAATAACACTCAAAATGCTTATAGCAACAGAGAATCTATCAGAGCAGGGGTGGGGAACCTGAAGCCTCAAGGCCGCATGTGGCCTTCTAGGTCCTTGGGTGTGGCCTTTTGACTGAGTCCAAGTTTCACAGAACAAATCCTTCTATTAAGAGTATTTGTTCTGTGATGTTTGGATTTAGTCAAAGGGTCAAATTTGAGGACCTAGAGGGCCACATGTGGCCTTGAGACTGCAGGTTCCCTACCCCTGTACCGAAGCTTTCCCTCCCTGGTATAGCCTTCAAGAATCCAAAGTCACCTCCATGTCACAAGTGAGACCTCAGAATCACACTTGCTTTTCATTGCTCATCATGACTGCCTCAAAGATGATTATTACAGCTTCTGTATATACTGATATCTATTGTAGAGCATGAAATAGTGGGGATATTCTACAAAGAAATTGAAAAAATCCTTCAAACCAAGTTTGATACTTTGATAATTTGTGGGCACAAGGGAAGATGGTGAATAATATTCAAGATTAAGAAATATAAGAAAAGGTAATGGCTTCTACACATTTCAGAAACCTCCAGCCCATATTGTCTGCTCTGCTCAGTTTTTTTTTTATCTTTTTAATCTTAACTATCTGTGTGACGTGTCATTTAACCTGTCTCAACTCAGTTTTCTCATTGGAAAAATGAGGAAGTTTTAGTATACAACCTCTAAGATATTTTCCTCTGTCAGTGTCATTGAGAAGATATGTTTGATGTTCCTGTCACTTTGAGGATGTGGAGGAATTTCTCAAGGAACTATTTTTTTCCTTTGTTTTCCGAGGGTCCATACTTTTTTCAGGCACAATCTGTGTGGATTACATATAATTTAAAGCCATTTATATAAAAATGATCAGTTTGAACCTGAACATGTTTCTTCATAGTGTATTATATATACAACATAGATAAGAAGGAAAATATATACAGATGATCAAAGAGCAAAAATAGTTCATCATAGAATGGAAGGGGCAAATCCTTTTACTTTACATTTTTATAGATGAGCAATAACTCATATAGGTGGATGAAGGTATAACTGGGACAAGAACCCAAGTGTATTGACTCCAAGTGTAGTGATCTTTACACACCGTACCACCCTAGTCACTAGACCATTCTGTTTGTTGAGTTAGGTCTTCACAGAGCAGTCTCTCTCTTTTTTTTTTTTTTTATGAAAATAGCTCAAAATATCAAATGTTCTATCTTCCATTGTAAGTGAAAAAATATTTCAAAATGAAATGTTTTGTTTTTAGGTGTTGGGTTTTTTAATTATGTTTAATTATCTCCCTCATTGATCCCAGTGGGGTTATATTTTCCAATATCTTTGCCTTAGCCCTATCACTTCATCCCTTGCATCTATAGTCTTCATTTTCTAACCTAGACACCAACATCTGCCTGTCTACTTCAATGGTACTTTCCATATATAGTCATTAGCCAGTGTCTCTAAGAGGGAAAATGAGGCTTGCTTTATCGAGCGATACTGCCTGCCTTGGCCATATTGCCTACCTATTCATGATGCACTATTTCAATTTGACCTTTTGTTTATCAGCTCTGAAGTCCAAATCGGACTTTACCCGATTTAGACCTGGCATTTTTTCCCTATACTACCCTCTCCCAAACAACTTCCTATATATCTCTGTAGCCTGGTCTGGATACGTACTGCAGGGACCAGTCTGCTTACCTTGGTTTTGTGACAGGTCCATTCTCTCTAGTCTTCTGAGCACTAATATGTCTTTTGATTAATTTTGTATCCTTTCCTGAGGGTAAAACCTCTATCTCAGTTGGCTAATTTTAGACTCAAGTTATGAGTTCTCAACTTGCCTCTTTTTATAACTTGGAAAGGCCTGATCCTTGAAACTAAAGGAAGAAACAGAAATATTTCTACTGACTATAGCTAAAAGAAATTAGCCTTTTTACCATTCCTATCCTGAAGTGTTCCTTAAATGCACTTAAAACTCATTAATGTTCACTGACTTAATACTTTTTGCATTTCATAGCAAAAACTCCTGCTCCACATTTTCACACGTTTAGTGTGCCTACTGCTAACAGGTCCCTATCATACAGATTTGGGGTTTTTAGGTCACAAGGTTTATTTTCTCTCCTGCTAGAAAATAAGCTTCTTGAGGATAGGGACTGATTTTGCTTTTGTGTAGTATATGCATGTTTTTTCCTTGTTTGTTATCCTTGAAAATAGAGGTAGAAACAGAATCTTGGTTTATATGTGTCAGGAAAGGCCCAAGTATATGTACTGTTTATATTAACTGTTAGGCTTGTTAACCTTTGCTCAAAATAATCAGAATAAACTGCTATCATTTGCTATTTTTCTAAGTTATCTAAGCCAGGTTCTTAGAACCTGAGCATCTCCTAAAAAAAATGGGTTTCAATGTTCAAAATAAAGGTAATTGGAAAGTTGACTTATAAGCCTCTTTTCAATGTTTATTGATGTTTCACTTGCTTTTGAATGGACCTTAATATTTCCTAAAGTTTTTAAGACTGCATAGCAAAATTAATAAAGAGCTGGTCCAGAATTAGGAAGATCTGAGTTCAGGCCTTGCCTCTCACACATTGGCCATGTGGCCAAGGACGAGTCATTTAATCTCTCGGTGCCCTAAGCAACTTGGTGCAGTGGATAAAGTACAGAAAATGGAGTCTGGAAGACCTGAATTCAAATCCTGCTTCAGATACTTATTATCTGTATAACACCCAACAAATCATTTAATCTCTCTCATCATTTATTTTCTCATCTGTAAAATGGAGATAATTATATCTCCTATTTCCTAGAGTTATTGTAAGGACAAGGGAGATCACGTAAGTAAAACATTTTACAAGCCTTAAAGCACTGTATAAATGCTAGCTGGTACTACAATTGGTACTGCAATTATTGATGATCCTAGTACTAATAATAAAAAACATACCTTAGTTGCTTATCCGTATGAGTAGAGGGATTTAGGTTTCTTAGTGAAAATTCCCTATTCTAGTGAAATCACAAGTCTCATCCCTCCCCCCTTCCAAACAAAACAAACCCACTCTGACACAGAGGCCCACAATTTGGTTGTGTAAGCCTGCCCCTAAATGCATTGTGTATATATGGGTTGTAGCATAAATCTCTACCATGTGCTAGGACTAGGGATACAAAAATAAAAGTAAAACAAGCTT